CTCATGGGAAAACACACACCTCTCTGCCCATCATCTGTCCTATGTTTTCCTGTCTCATTCTTGGGACTCTAAAGAAAAAGCCACCCAGTGAGGATGACTGTGATGGCCCACAACTAAATTACAGGCCATGAGGTTGTTATAAAGGACACTTTTATTACAAAGCCAGTGCCATGCTTGTGTGTGAGACTGGAGATGTACGGCAGCAAACTCATTCCTGGTTCAAATCAGCAATTATTACATTAGCTTTACACATTTTGAGATATTAAAACATAGATCATGTGCTCTGATGAATTACTTTGATCCCTCCAGAAAGAAAAAGAAAATCCGGCTGGTATTATGTTTCATAATTGATTTTGTTTTTGAGACAGAATCTCCCTCTGTCACCAGGCTGGAGTGCAGTGGCACTGTCTCTGCTCACCTGCAACCTCCGCCTCCCGGGTTCAAATGATTCTCCTGCCTCAGCCTCCCAAGTAGCTGGGATTACAGGTATAAGCCATCTTGCCTGGCTAATTTTTGTATTTTTAGTAGAGACAGGGTTTTGCCATGTTGGCCAGGCTGGTTTCAAACTCCTGACTTCAAGTGATGCACCTGCCTTGGCCTCCCGAAGTGCTGGGATTACAGGCTTGAGCCACCATGTCCAGCCTGATATTTATTTTTATCCTTCAGGTGATTATAATGGACCTTTCCTTTAATTCGAAGTGAGAATATGCTAAAAAACATATAGATATCATCAATACAATATTATTGTATTGAACCAACTAATTAGTTTTAAAGCAGGATTGATGCTTTGGAAAAAGAATATCCATTTTCTTTTCTTAAATTAACTAAGTTCTCGATACAAATAGCCTACCAATTCTATCTTCATGCATATTACTCTACTAAGAATTTTGGTAGGTTAGTTCTTGATCTTCAGAAAGTCATAGGATATTTGTATGTTTATATATATAATTTATAAATACATAATGTGTGTTTACATATACAGATGCACACTTGCAAATATATATTATAAATGTAAAATACATATAATATATACTTAGAATAATTACTATTACTATTTGAATATTATTGTGCTAATTTTTAATAATATAATAATTGAGCAAAAATTAAATAACAGGTACTGTGCTAATTGTTTAATATGCATTATCATATTTATTCATCCAGCAATTATTAAAATAGATGTATAACACCTATTATTATTATTTAAATCAGTGTAGTTATTGCACATCTATTTTAATAACTATTGGACTGAATAAATTAGATTGTCTATACCGGGATGGATAGATACCCACAAGCACAGAAAATTTCATGCACAGAAGCACAGATTATTGTTATACCTATTTTACAAATGAGAAGAGGAGAAATGTTGATTTGGCTGAGGTCACACACAGCTAGTATCCACAGCTGTGAGAAGGAAACCCAGTCCTTTCTGACTACAAAGCTATGCTCCTGACCAAGGCAGAAAGAATTAGAATGGTCAATTCCTCAGAGCAGGAACTGTGGGCAGATGCCAGAAGGGCCACTTGGGGTAGGATCTGTCATTCAAGAAGAATCTTGAAGATGACTCACAGCGTTATCTGCCAGGGAGAGTGTGTCCCCAGAAGGATGGAAAAAAGACAACCAGTAGCCATAAACCAGCCTTAAAACACACACATAGGACCTGACAGCAAAATCTGCAGTGCACTGTGAATCACTATGTGTTAGGTGGTGTAATTAAGTGTTGCCAGTGGCCGGGCGCGGTGGCTCATGCCTGTAATCCCAGCACTTTGGGAGGTTGAGGCAAGCAGATCACGAGGTGAAGAGATCAAGACCATCCTCACCAACATGGTGAAACCCCATCTCTACCAAAAAATCCAAAAATTAGCCGGGCATGGTGGTGCACACCTGTAGTCCCAGCTACTCCAGAGGCTGAGGCAGGAGAATTGCTTGAACCCAGGAGTCGGAGGTTGCAGTGAGCCAAGATCGCACCACTGCACTCCAGCCTGGCGCCTGGCGACAGAGCAAGACTCTGACTCAAAACAAAACAACAACAAAAAAATGTTTCCAGTACAAGCACATACACATACATTCATATATTTAAAGTATTAATTTAGAGGATGTAAGCATTTGAAATACATGACAGTTTCTGTAATCTTATATTAGCATTCCACCATTGGAAAAAAAAAAAAAGAAAAGAAAAGAAACAGCTTGTCACGTCAAGAAATAGAATCATCTGGGCCTTCACTCGCCTCTGTTGGCCTGATCCATGAGTAAGTCGCTGACACCAGGATGGGAATTGCATGGAAATGATGGGGACACTGGCATTGGGAAAGTGGAGTGAAACTGGACATGATCAGTATTCGTTCGCCCAAATAGAATTCCAGATGTGTAACCACCCACAAGCACAGGAGAGTCCATGCACAGAAGCCCAGAACACCAGCAGCCTCATCTTCTCTTGAGCAATACCTTTTTTTCCCATGATAAGATGAAGAAGGAAACCCCCCCACAACACCTCCACCAGGCAGAGAGAATGCTGGGGAAGAAAGGTGGCCCTCTGCCTGCACAGATCAGTGAGCGGCAGCCAACATGGAGAGGTCACTGGGCAGGCAGAGTGGCCATGTCCCTACCCCCAGTTCAGCAGCCCCTACCTGAATATGCCACACTCAAAGGCCAGATGGAGGTGGAGCCACCCAGCCCTGTGGCTTGGAGATGCCCCCAGGCATTTGCCCAGAGAGGAAGCTTGAGATAACTCTCAGACTTTACAGACAGTGCTGATCTCAGTCACACAGCCATTCCATTGAGCCCTGTGATACCTTTCACTTCAGGAAATAGAACATTTAGTGTGCTCCATTTTAATTAGAGAGGGTGCTGTGCCTCCTATTTGGATGCTATCTCAAAGTTAATAAAATATTGGCCACAGCAGCCTAGACAGATAGTTCAAAAATTGACTGCTGAATGATGATATTGTTTTTACGTGTTTTTCAAAGGATAGTATTTTTCAGGTCTAAAGGATTAATTGGTCAGAGTATATACCTTAGCTTCTGAACATGAAACACTGTTTGATGTCGTGATTGAAGCGTTCAAACAATTTCTCTCAAAACTCTGTAGATCTCCATTCCTGTTCGGTGTTTCTCTAAATAAGATGATGTTAAAAGGCAATGTTCTATTTTCTAAGGTGGATTATTAGTTTTAGTGTCAGATATTTTCTAAATGAAGTGTTTGTTACATTCTCTGAGGCTTAAGCAAATGTTTTTTTCTTTGATACCCAGGTACTTTGAAGATGTTTCCACTTCCCTTCAAAGATATTCAATGTCCCTGCATAGAATGACAGTTGTCACTTTCTCCAGCATAAGACACATTCCCATATGATCTCTTACCACGTAGCGTCCTGGGTGAGTTAGAAAGAAAGGATGGAAGTCAATGCATCCCATTTATTCTCAAGACACACCCAAAAAGTATGAACTCAGATATTTCACAGAGCTTCCAATTTACCTGCCTGTATTTACAAAATAAGTGTATGCTTTCTCCCCAAACATTATGTTTTGAAAGTTACATGCCAATAACCACCACTGAACATAAGCTGATGTGTTTGCTGAATTGAGCAATGTGAATTATCCTGGTACTTTTCTTTGACTTCATCACACATTTCAGTTACTTCTGTAAACACTGACTGCCCCCTCTAAAATACCTTTAGTTCCTTTCCCCTATCAAATGTGCTGCCAAATAATGTTTTGCTAGAAGATAATGTACATAAATTAGCACGATCAAAACCTATAATTATAGAAAATATATTTCCTTTGTATTCAAGCAAATCTTTCTGGACAGAAACAAGCACCTTGTCACATTTCAAGTAAACATGAATTATGAAAAACAAGTTATTTGAAAGGAGGCAATACAAAAGTGGATGCTGGACTTCTACATTAGAGTGACAGACTTGATATGGAACTTTCTTTTAAAGTCTTAAGTTTTCAATGCTCCTACTGGCAAATGATGTATTAGACTTAGTAATGTAAAATGTAATGAAATAGATTATATCTACTGGAAACATTAGTACCCATTAGATCTGATAACTGTGAGTCTAAATGTGAAATCTCTGCTTTATGAATTATTGCAGATGGTGTTGTAGATAATGTCTTCATGCTCTCTTGCCAAAAAAAACTAAACTCCTTATTGAAGGAAGCCCTGAGAATGATTAAAACAGAATTTAGGGCAGTGGTTACGTCAAGGGAAAGCAAGGGAGAAGAAAATTGAAGTGCACCCAGAAGACATCAGCAGTATTCAGAATGTTTTATTTCCAAACTCTACCTTGTGTGCATGGCCATGTGTTATGTTATTCTTGTTATCTTTGACAAGTTGTTATGTACAGATTCTTTCAGGACGCAGAAAATGACAGAAGGCAAGTTCTCCCCCTTTCCAAAGTAAGGTGCTGACCACTGGTAATCCGGCAAATCTTGAGGATATCAAAGGATTGAAATGGGAGAGCCCGGAAAATTGGACATTAAAAAGGAATTAATTTCAAGAGCATTTTCTCTGCACTGTAATTTCCCCTCCAGTATGAGATTGTACTGGGAAGATGCTCCTCTCCACTTGTCCAGGTGTGAGATGAATTTTGTTCAGGTTGATGTCACTCAGAAATAGATCCAGAGACGAGATTTCAAGTTCTCAGGGTTTATGTGGGAGATGCTCCCAGAAAGCACTAGTAGAGAAGCGGGGAAGTGATACAGGAAAGAGAACCGGCAAAGGATGTGTTATCCAATGGATGTCAACTGGAGTAAATGTCCCTAGGATGAGGGTGTTCCTGCATTCTCATCTTGGGCAGAACAAAGGTAAGAGGACAGCCTAGGTCTGTAGACATGTGAGATGGGAGAGACATGACATCTGAAATGCAGATACTGAAGAAACCAGGGAACCATAAAACCATCACGATTTTGTAAATAACCTAGGGAGGGTACTGGACTTCCCAGTCCCTTTGGGGGAAAAAAACGTACATTTTTTTTCTTTTAATGCCAAATGACTGTATGAGCACAGGTACCATCTGGGTTGAATATCCACTGTAATTTTTGTTAAACATTATTAAATTTACCTGCTGGACTGCAGACTCCTCATGGGTAGGGTGAGATCTATATTTCTCATAGTTTTCTTCCTAGTTTCTTGCACATGCCTGGCTGGAGGGACAAAGCAAGAAAATGATGTTACTAAAACCCAGATTTGGCCGGGGGCGGTGGCTCATGCCTGTTATCCCAGCACTTTGGGAGGCCTAACTGGGTGGATCACTTGAGATCAGGAGTTCAAGACCATCCTGGCCAACATGGTGAAACCTCTCTCTACCAAAAATACAAAAGCTAGCTGGGTGTGGTGGTGCGTGCCTATAATCATAGCTACTCAGGAGACTGAGGCAGAGTAACTTGAACCTGGGAGGTGGAGGTTGCAGTGAGCCGAGATCACACCACTGCACTCCAGCCTGGGAGACAGAGCAAAACTCCATCTCAAAATAAAATAGAACGAAACCCAGATTCACCCAGTGGGAGCTGGAGCCTGGGGAGACTTGGCCAGTGCCGAAAATCTAGCCCAGGGCATGGAGCAAAGGGAAGAAACATGCTGGTCTCTTTCTTCCTCCCACCTCCCAATCTCCCAGCAGTGCCTTTCATTGGCTACATTGAGCCTGATGACAGCTGGCGAGGAGTCATGGGCACTGCAGTTTCCTGGAATCCTGGGCAGATGTGGGGAAGGGCTGGAGAAAGATTTGATCTGCAGGTGACCTTCCTGCATGCCCTGGGAACCATATGTGCAAGAGAGCTTGTAGGGAAAGGAAGCAGGCAGATGCCCCCAAGGACTGCAGTTTGGGAGATGGCCCCAGGGCACCATTCTCCAGGAGGCAGGATGTCACAACCTTAGCTAGAGCAGGGTACCTCAAAATTTAGACCCTTTGTTATGTGGGAGAAGATTAAACTGCTTTTGCATAAGGACGAGCCTTATTGTCACAGGAAAATAAGTTTTTTAAAAAAGTATACATGATTAAATTCTCATGTTAGTGATAACTGTTTTTAATTTTAAATACATTGATTGACATGACTTTTAAAATGATCTTCAAATATAAGAGGTTTGTGTCACTGCTATCTAAGAATTATGCAAATTTTAAAAGAAAAGAAAACATTGCCTCTGCAGAGCTCCAGTATAGAACTAGTAGAAAAAGAATATTATTTTCATTTTTATTATGAAGGCAATGGCTTGATCTAAAATGGGCTCCAGAATTTTCTTCTAAATCCTCCACACCACTTCTTCATCTTTGGATCAACTCTTTATAGTGTTACATCACCACGGATTGAAATTTTCTTTGAATGAAAAGTAAGAAACTCCTATAATATCATGGGGTTGAACCAAGATACGTGGGTGTAATAGGACTGGCTGACATTTGGCAATTCTTGTATCATTTATTTCTTTTTAAATATTACTCACCTTTATTTAGAGAAGAAGGAGAGAATTCTAGGTGAGGGGAGAAGGCCAGAAAATAATCATCAGGAGTAAGTTTATTTGCTCTGAACAAGTCAGCTCTGTCCTTGAGTTTGAGTTCTCACTCAAAACCAACAATAGCCAACCCAGAGGCTAACTAGAGACCTTATTCTTGATAGGTCTGACTGGAGACACACTTATTGTATACATATTCGTATATATATTTAAGTATTTATATAATAATACAGTTACGCACAAAACAAGCATTGTATATTTTATTTTCTCTTTGTTTTTGCCTTTTATGAATATTATTTTTATTTTCCCTGTTTTAATATATTTTAAACTATAATAACTACACTATTGCATTTTCATTTTCATTTTGTATAAATGAGTTGATATATTAAAATATAAAATGGTATCTCAAAAAATTTTGGCTATATCGTTATATTTTGAAATTCTTGGAACGCACCATTTTAAACAATATCAACAGTGCTCAAAATAGTTTCAGAGGCTTGTTTTCCAGCCAATGCATGTGAATTTTTTGCTCATTGTTCATCCTGCTGAATATACAAGAGCTTACCGCCAAGGCAGCTGCCAGCCTTAGCTATCCTAGAAATCCCTTAGTTCCCTTTATTTTTAAAAAGGTGAGCAAGTCACAGTCATACAAACCCCAATCAAGATCCCCACATCACTAAGGCAATGGAGAACCATTGACCACTTGAAGCACCATTGCCTGTCTTAGTTTACAATGTCCTTTCCCACCTCTTGTCACAGTAAAGAAAGAATGGGTAAAATTGCCTGTGTCACCTGGATTGGAACTGAGGTGTGTGGCCGAAGAATAACCCCTACACAGGAACAAATCCAGTCTTCATGGTAGAGAGAGATAAAGCCATCTTACTTGAAATAGGAATAAGGATATTTGTCATTTTGTGCAACCTCTATTGTTCCTGGATCAAACTGAGGGTCAGGCTGCTACTTCTCACAGCCCAGTAACGGGATGCAGATGAACTGAGAAGGAAGAGAGATTTTATTTCTGTAACTGGTTCCAGGGAGAAGTCTTGGAAAATATCATCAGATCAGCTCAAAATTACAAAGATTCCCAGAGCTTATATATGTTCTGAGCTATGTGTCTATGCGTAAGTGCGCACTCATCTAAAGACATACGTAATTAACTTCTTTTAATCTCTAAGACCTGAGTCTTGAAGACCTTCCCCTGGAGCCTCTGTAAATTTACTTAATGTAAATGGGTCCAGGTGCTGGGGTGATTACCCTTATCTTGTCTCCTGCTAAGCCACAGAGGTTTGGGGAGGTCCTTTAGTCCCCAATAAAGCTTGTTTGTGGAGGCCTGGGGAGTTTCTTCAGATCCCCAATAAAACTTGTTTAATCCTAAACATGTCTTGTTAAGAATTCCTTCATTATGTTGTCATGCTTCAAGGCCCAGGAAAGGCCTAAGCAAAGCTCTTACATTCCAGCCTTTGTATAAGCACACTGGCTCTTTTAGCTTTTAATATTTAACTTACGCACTCAGTCAGTGCTCAAACAGTAGTGATGGAGGCCTGCGTTAGTCAGACCTGGCCTGCCACACTGTCACCTGCACCTTGATTTAGATGCTTCCAACTCTCTAGACCTTAATTTCCCCAGATTCAAGAAGAAAGCAATAGTGCTACCTGTCTGCCTTGGAGGCCAGGCGGAGAAGAGGGAAGGACTCAGAAGTATTTTCCAGGAATATTGTTTGGTCCTGAGCCCTCAGCTAGCAATTCAGTGTTTCAGCTTCCTTTGCCCATGAGACTGAGATCCTGCTTTTCACAGTTAATTTATGTCTAAAGGCTTCCAAAACTCTACCATGTTTCTATCCATCCCAAATAATTAACCACCACTGGACAATCCATGTTCTGATTCTGGTGACACTACCAATATGCTCTGCAATTCAGATTTTTGACTTCCAGCCTTTGCAAGTTTATCAGCAGTGAACTGACACCTGTCTTGCATGGCATGATTCTCACTTAGATGATTGAGTTCCTGGAAACATTTGGCATCCATTAGGAAATGGACAAGTAGGGGCACCTCAGAAAAGCACTGTATATGTTACATATGTTAAGTGGTAATATGTTATCAGGGAGCATCTTCTCCAGTCTCTCCTCTTATAAATACCCATCCTAAATATTGCCATTCTACCTCTCCTTACTCATGGAAGACTAATCATTCGTAACAGCCTTCCATCGCCCCTCCTCTAGTTTCAATACTGGGATGTGCTTACTACCTAGAAAAAGAAATACATCTTTGAAACCACAGTTTTCTCTTGTATATTTGAGTAATAATACCTACATCCTAGAGTTGTGGTGAAGGTAAAATGAGATGATACATGAGATGCACATCATCAGAGGGCTAGACACATAAAACTGGTTCCATAAAGGGTAACTGTTATTATTATACTTTAAACCTCTTGAGGTCTGGAATGGTGTTTGTTTTTTTCTGGTTTGTTTGGGTCTTACTACTGATGTCTTTATTAAGGTACAGCTTTAAACAAGTTAAGTATGCAGTTTACCAAAGACAGTTTAATGGCTGCCTTTGTCAGACATCCGAAGCCCAGACACTTGCTGTTTTGTGGCTCAGTCATGCCTAGGGGGATGTGGTGATGTCACTGGTTCAAAATGGCTCTCCCCAATGTCCAATTACTGCAGCAGGGAGGGGACATGGGGAAGAGTAGGCCCTGTCCCTTCCTTTTCAATGCATAGCCCAGATGATACACACTTCATTTAGTGTACCCAAGTGACCACAACTTAGTCACATGGCCACATCTAGTTGCAAGGTATCCAGAAAAATAGTCTTTGTTCTGGTCATCTGGTTTAAAACACATGTTCTATTACCAAAAAAAAAAAAAAAAAAAAAAGACAGTGAAAGAATATTTGGGAAGAATTAGCTATCCCTATCACAACCATACAATAATGCCAAACACAGTGACACAGGTCAAGAGATACATGGATACACGGTGAACACATTATTATTATTTCCTTTTTTGAACATTGATATGTGATATTTGCAGATATTCTTTTATTTGAAATATTTCCATCTCATTAATTCAACATTATCCAGGGTCAATATTTTCTTTTAATTGCTAAATTTGCAGCGTTGAAAAATTAGTTCTAAAATATTTTCATCACCTGGCTGGGCATGGTGACTCATACCTGTAACCCCAGCACTTTGGGAGGCTAAGGTGGGTGGATCACCTGAGGTCAGGAGTTCGAGACCAGCTTGGCCAACATGGTGAAACCCTGTCTCTACTAAAAATACAAAAATTAGCTGGGAATGGTGATGTCCTCCTGTAATCCCAGCTACTTGGGAGGCTGAGGCAGGAGAATTACTTGAACCTGGGAGGCAAAGTTTGCAGTGAGCTGAAATAGTGCCACTGCATTCCAGGCTGGAGGACAGAGCAAACTCTGTCTCAAAAGAAAAAAAAAATCATCACCCAGAAGGAAACTCTGTTAACAGCCACTCCCCAACAAGCAGCTACTCCCTTATAACCTCTCTCCATGGCCCCCAACAATTAGGAATCTGCTTTTTTTCTCTGCGAATCTATCCTGGATGTTTCATGTAAATAGAATCATAAAATATGTAACGATTGGTGTCTTAGCATAAAAATATATTTTAAAGCAAAGAAAAAATTGTTACTACCCAATAAGACAAATAACACAATTAAAAAATGGGAAAAGGATTGAACAGATATTTCTTCAAACAAAATGGCCAATGAGCACAGTAAAAGGACGTTCGACATCTTTAGTCCTCAGGGAAATGCAAACCAAGACCAATGACTGTTAGGATAAAGTGCATCGTTGTGCTTAAAGGTTTGATTTAGAAATATGGGTAAATAATGACCCTCTGTTTCTGGATAGCTGTGTTATGATTGCTTGGGCAGAGTTAAGAGATGGCGCTCCAAGACATAGTCCAGTAGAATGCAAAGAGTTTGGAAATGAGTTAATAGAGTTTGACTGTGTAAAAACTCCTCCACCTTACCCAGTCATTTCCACACACTCTCAATATGGCTACCACCAGGCTATATTCTCCCATTCAGAAATGATGCCAGCTAAGTACAACTCATCCCAATTACTGAAAAAGCTTTTTTCAAACTGCAAAATTGCAAGCAAGGGGGAAATCAAACACGAAAGATGATGCATCACAGAACAAAAGGAGCAGCTGCAAACGTTCTGAGCCCTGGCTCCCATGTGACTTTCCTGTCAACTCTGCTTTCTTAAATGGCCAGAAAAACTACTTCATGGGGAAAAATGTATTTTCTGCAAATATGTTCATGCTTCTATGTGATTCGCATTACTTTTTATTTTCGTTATCAATGCAATGTCTGTGTTTTCCATGTTATTAATAGTTACTTCTCTAAATTAAGAAAAATGAGTTTGAACATAAGAGATAATATCCAGTCCAATATAGCACCATTTAAATGAGCATGAAATCATTCTTGTAAACAAAAGTTTCTGTCACTAGGTAACTGAGTTGTTCATCTATCACCCACATGTGATGCAGCCTCTCTTTATGTCTATTGTGTCAGCTAATTATTTATAGCGCTCTCTTTTCACTCTTAGAAATGCCCTAAAGTGGCTAATACATTAGTTTACCATTCTAATTAGAAGCTTCTTTCAGGTCCTTTACTTTTTAAAATGTTTTTTTAATTTAATTTTTTTTTTTAAGAGATGGAATCTTGCTCTGTTGCCCCAGCTGGAGTGCAGTGGTGCCATCTTGGCTCACTGCAATCTCCATCTCCTGGGTTCTAGCAATTCTCCTGCCCCAGCCTTACGAGTAGCTGGCATTATAGCTGCATGCCACCATGCCTGGCTAATTTTTTATATTTTAATAGAGATGGGGTTTCACTGTGTTACCCAGGCTGGTCTCAAACTCCTGAGCTTAGGCAATCCACCCACCTCAGCCTCCCAAAGTGCTAGGATTACAGACATGAGCCACCATGCCCAGAAGGTCCTTTACTTTCTTGGTGTATTAATAAATCACTTAATTTAAGACACTTTTCAGAGTCCTGTTGGCTGAAAACGATAAGGAGTGCATCCCCTGGCCACATGCCCATGTGCCCTTGGATTCGTGCTTGAGTGTAGAAGGGAGATGGGGCGAGGCTGGGATGGTGGTATCGGGAGGCAGCACCCATTAGGTCTGTTATTCGCACATGAGACTAAGTGCTGGGGTGACTTCAGGCTGGCCCGACTACTGTGCCTAGGTCCTGGAAACACACGCCACATGTTTATATTTGTGTCAATGTTCATGCATGGAGTTTTCCATTTTTCTTAAAGAAAACAAACAGTAGCAAAAAAGATGAATATTTTAGTTATTTAAAAACTGAGCACGCTATTTGCTACCCATGCAAAATAATGTATACCTTCGAGGATTCAGTGTTGAGATTCTCCTACCTGCTTAGCCACAAGAAGAAGGAAATCCCCTGGACATTACAATTGAAACCTGTTTAGAGCAGTTAAACTGCTTCCTGAAAGCCCAGGGTCTCCTTTGTCCACCAGTTCTTAAGGCAGAGGAAGCCCTTGTAAGAGTTAAAGAAAGAGGAAAGAAACCCTGAACACGACCTGGCAGTTAAAGATAAGTTTGCTTTAGGTAAAACCTGAGAAAGGCTTCTGGCTGTTTTTTTTTTTTTTTTTTTTTTTTTTTTGGTCAGGAGTACTTTCTCTTACAGACTAAAAGTATATATTGGTTTTAGGATGAGGACCTTATTAGAAGCTTGGAATGTTCCCATGTGAGGGAGAAGTTTTATGGTGGGGTTGGAAGGTCTCTGGGAGGAGGGAAGTTTATCTTGAGGCAGACATCTTTCTGGCAGGACAGGGGTTACTTTGGGGCCAGCCTTTTCCTGGTCGGAGGGGGTTTCTCTTGGGGCTAGCATATTTTCAGTTAGGGAGGAGTTTGGAATCTTTCTGGTCAGAGATGTTTTGTGATTTATGGTCATGCTGACCTTAGCCATTAGGCTTATGCCCTTTGGGTTTTGGCAGTTTTTTATTAAGGTGAACTTTAGAATGAGGAGCTTGTCCAAGATGGTGATGGTCCTGCTGTATCAGCCCCTAAGTCTGCAGAGACCCCAGAGGAAACTTAGTTTCACTGACCTGTCTCTGTTGCCTCTGAGAGTGGAATGCTCTGCCTTGAGTACCACTTCCCTTTAGGCCTCTTAAGATTCACAGAGTCTGTGTTCCATGCCTGGTGCTCATGGGAGGTGGAAGACTCAATATCGCTGATGTTCTGGAGGGTCAACCATAGAGGAACATGAGTGACAAGGGAAAGAACAGCATCTGAAAGTGGACCAGTCCATCTGCTCTGATTTGTGTCCCTTCCTACTCATTCCAGAGGCCTCTTAGAAAGAACCAGACATATCCTGAGGCTCCCAGCTTAAAACCCTTTGGTGTTCTCCATCACCTTCGCTCTGCATACCAGTCCTGCCCACCTCTCCAGCCACATGCCCACCCTCTACCCCTCATCCCTCACCTGGCACGCTGGCCTTTCTCCTCTTCCTTAAACACATCAGGCTTTTACCTAACCCATAACCCCTGACATGCCCTTCTCTCTCTCTCTCTTTTTTTTTTAAATATATATTTTATTGCATTTTAGGTTTTGGGGTACATGTGAAGAACATGCAAGATTCTTGCATAGGTACATACATGGCAATGTAATACAGGAGCACCCAGATACGTAAAGCAAGTTCTTAATGACTTACAAAGAGACTTAGACTCCCACACAATAATAGTGGGAGACTTTAACACTCCACTGTCAATATTAGACAGATCAACGAGACAGAAAATTAACAAGGATATCCAGGACTTGAACTCAGACCTGGACCAAACAAACGTAATAGACATTTACAGAACTCTCC